TTACCAGAATGGGAAGCCGCTGCGATGCAACCGTTGGTCTCTGCTCGTCTGCGGTCAGTCTCGCTGCAAAAGCGTCCAAATCGGATTTCCTAACGTAAAAGTGGAGCTGGTACAACTTCAACGGTTGCGAAATTCCAAGCTCTCTCACAGGTAAGGATGTCTGGTATGTGTCATAATTCTTCAGCAAGGGCACGCTATTCACTTGCATGTTCTCTTCGAAACAATCTTTCAGCTTCCCATCTATGCCATCCCGTTGACACCACCACGTTTCACCTGCAGCGGCGAGCCTAACGGCCCTTCGGCGATGTGTGGTTGGCCTGACAAAGTCTGTGGGAGCCCAGCCCACAATGGCCACAAAGGCCAACAAAGTCAGAATTGCGAACCAAAGGCGCGGCTTCTTCGCACGAGTCATGGCACACTGCTATGACAGGTTGCTAGGAGCATCAGTCCGACTGGAATGAATGCGTCCATCTCTGCTTACTACATTGAGTTTTCTACGGAAGCCCAAAATGCGCACATCAACATCAATGTTGTCAATTGATATGTCCATGAAACACCATGGCTTATTGACATGGCAATCACTTACACAAATGAGACTACCTCAAATGTTCAATCCAATCTGATCTTGAGCAATTTGCGCTGCACAAGACCACAAACGAGTCACGCAAACATGCAGTGATTCTGGATGTGACTCCAAAAATGTCACAAACATGTCACAAAGAGTGAGTGTTGAGTCAGCAGACAGAAGACAAGGTTGGCAAGCGAAAACTGCATGCTGCCAGCAAAAAGTGCAACTGCAAGGCTCAGCTCTGTCTTTTCTCGTAGCATTGAAGTCTCAGAGCTGAATAGTCCTCGGTATGCGGAAGGATCGGACAGGGAAAAGCCGAGGTCTTCAGTTTTGCAAAAGCCTTTTCAAAGACAGCCGGTTGCAGTTTGCATTTCCCTCTCAAGGTTTCCAAAGCATTTCTTTGCTGCGCTCACTAAGTTGATGTAAAATTGCTATTCAAAGTTGTCGCAAGAGTTTCATATATTTGGTGAAACTGTCCAGTGCTTATGACATGCTCACACTCAATGTGTCAGTGCACGAAAAAGGTTGAAGATTGAACCCGTTTTGTGCCAATTTTGTTCAGCTTTGCAGCAAGCTGCTATGGCACAATGTAGCCATAAGGATTGTCTTCAGAACTGTCACGAAGAGATGCACTCATCTTCTCTTCCTTCTTCCATTCACCGGCCTTCAGAGCAAAGACAATCAAAACAAGGCGGAAGGGCTAAACTGGCTAAACTAAACTCCAAAGGGCTGGTTATTGAAGCACATACCACTAGCGAACAATAGGTGGCGCAAGAAATTGTTCGTTGTGTTGAGTGTATATGTTAATTAGGGGTGCAGCAATGGTCAACTTCATCTCCTTCTCAATCGCATCACCATAAAACAGCAAGACCACCATGCACGTGGATATGCTTTCAACCAAAGCCGGTCTGTTTCCCATCAGTGCTTTCTTTGTTTCTCTTCACTCAATGTTTTGTTTCTCAAGGAAGCAAAGTGGATGTGAACACGTTCCATGAAAGCACAGGACGCTCAATCTTTGCCATTGCCCTTTGAAAAACTGCTCTCAGAAAAAGATTTACAAACAATCGGCTGGAGTTCAGCACCTTCTTCCAGTATGCCTGACGACTTTCAAATTGAGATAAACGTTTGGAAGATATCTGAGCCCCGCTTAACAAAACCAACTAGACTATCTCTAGAGCAGTCCTGCTGCACTTGCTTTACCCAAACAGCATTGTTCTGCGTTGCAGTGGTTGGTCCTTGCAGAGTTCGACGATGATAGCTTGTGTGAACTTTGCAAGGTCCCACTTCATAACTCCAGACAAAACTAACTCAAACAAACCACGCGCGGCTGCCATCTTGAAATGCTCTTTGAAAGCATGGGTCTTGTCTTACCGTGAAAGCCTACACGTTCTGACAGAAAACTGTGCATTTGAACATGTTTGAATGTTCAAGAGAAATCCAGCCTGGCTGAATGTACATTCTTTGACATCAGTTTTGCCTAGAACTGCCGCATTTTTCATGCCTCCAAATGATAAGCAAACACTTGTACTTTGCATCTGCGTAGTTTCTCACATTGTCAAAGCGACTCCGATGTTTTTCAATTTCAGTTGTCTGCCACAGGCCATGACCGCTTCAACGATCGTCAACCTTCCCTCTATTTCCAGTCTCTATACTGATCCTGCACTAAAACCCAAGGGTTCCAGTATCTGAATTATGGCACCGGCGTAGTGATTTTCAAAAGAGGCCACGGACATTTCAACACACCAAAAAGGAAACGGCTGCTATTATAGACCCATTGGCGCGTGACGTTGCGCCGGTGTCCGAAGCAACCAATCATGGGTGGTGATATGTGATGCTTCATGGCAGCAACAAACTCTATCTCGTTGGTACATTCGGTGAAGGGTGACTTGAACCTGCAAAGAGAAAGATAGTAAGTAATTCCTGTAAAGATCGGAGGACAGCTGACTTCAGGCGGACTCCATCGGTCGGCTAGCCCTGCGCTGCTTTCTTCGCAATATATCTTCCGCCAACGCTCGGATGAGAGTCCTTTAGCAACGGGGGCAATGCCACTAACTTGCTTCGCCAAAAGGTGAAGCTTGGAAAGAGCTACGCTCTATTGGTCCAGGCAGCTCACCTCATCTCAAGATGCCAAACAACACGAACCATTCACTAAAACATCTGCCGTCCCCAGTTTCCATCCACGATCGAGTCACGTGACCCACATTTTTTATTGGCAGGTCGATGTCTTCCACAACTCGCAGCGATCGATGTCTTTCCAAAGCGAGGCCCGAAAAACAGCTGCAAAGAAGCTATTAGAAACAAGTGCCACGCTAGTAGTAACAGGTGCCTTACTAGTAGTAACAAGAAGCTAGTAGTAACAAGTGCCACGCTACTAGTAACAGGTGCCTTACTAGTAGTAACAAGAAGCTATTAGTAACAAGTGCCACGCTACTAGTAACAGGTGCCTTACTAGTAGTAACAAGAAGCTAGTAGTAACAAGTGCCACGCTACTAGTAACAGGTGCCTTACTAGTAGTAACAAGAAGCTATTAGTAACAAGTGCCATGCTACTAGTAACAGGTGCCTTACTAGTAGTAACAAGAAGCTAGTAGT